AATCAGAGCGCAAAAAAAAAAGGAAAGGCATTCAAAGGTTGAGCCTGGGATTTTCTCTAGATTCTTGGACTGAAGATGTTTTAATAGCTACACCCCTTTCCAGGGTTTTCCTAGCTTCCTCTCTCTCACCCTGCCCACCACCATGATGGGAAGGTTGTTCCCTCTCCTGTAACCCAACCCAGTCTGAAGCATTGTTCCCCTTGTTCTCCCTATTCATCCTCTTCCCCATGCTGAAGAGGAACAAAATAGCTCTAGGAGAAGACGCTTGCACCCTGAACCCAGGGCTCCAGAGGTAAAAAGTCTGTGCAGAACCCCAGCTCCCAGAAACAGTTTAATGATATACACTAATAATTTAAATGTTTTCATTGGATTAGAAACTTTCAGTGGTTGCTTTAATTGTTAATCGTGTTCCTGTGCAGCAAATTCAGATTGGGTCCTCAGGAAGGTAACACACTTGCAAAAGGGTAGGCCAGGTGCACCAAAGAGGGCCACGGTGGCAGACTGCCAGGAACTTGAGTGTTGTCTATTTGACAACACTATCAAATATATAAACATACACAACCATTATATTTGGTGATATTTCTAGCTTCTTTGATGTGCTGTGTTCCTTATTAATTGGATTTACCAGCAATGAAAACAACGAGCCAGGGTAGGCTGTTCACAAGGATGTCAGAGAGCAGCAATAGGTTTAGTGTTCTAATATACAGAAAACCAAAAGCAGGGCTGCACATTAGGTACCTCTGTGCCGGGCAGTTTATGCCTAGAAACAAACCACTGGGCTGGTAAGATGTTAGTGTCTCTTTCCTTCTCCAACATCCTCTGCCAGCCCTACCTCAAAGGAAAACTTCCCAGATGCTCCCATAGAAAGAAAGAGTGTCGCCTCCCCATTTGGCAATCCAGTACTTTTTAATTAAAGTCACCTCCGATCAGGCCTGCAAAATGCCAGCTTCACAAAGAAAGCAATATTACAAAAGGAGCTTGCAATCTGCGCTGAAACAAAGTAAGCAAAGCCTGGGGCTAAGAGACTTATTCCCCCCTGAGAGGGGCGAGCTCAGGCAGCTTGCTCAAACACACATTAAAGCATGGTTGATAAGCACATGCCTTTTGCAGCATCTGGAGCCAGTCCATCGTGCTCTGCTACCAGTGTATGCCTGTTGGTGCTCGCTAACCTTGGCAGACCCGATACGGGGTGATCTATTATTTCACAGCAGTTACGTTTAGGAAGAAGGGATTGCAGACTTGCTCTCAGGAAAGTGATTTTCTTTGTGGTGGAACTGGCAAAGGCAGCTTCCACCAACTCAGTTTCTTGCAGAACTGGGGGTTTTTTGATTGCATTCTTTCCCCCCTTGTGCAGCCTTAGTGCTACTAAAAAGGTACAAGGTGGGTGAGGTAGTATCTTTTATTGGACCAACTTCTGTTGGCGAGAGACAAGCTTTCGAGCTACACAGAGCTCATCCTCAGGTCTGCAAAAGGTATTAAGGGCAGGTCTACCCTTAAAACCCTATATTGGCACAGATGCACCAGTATAGTGCTTTAATGAAGATGCTCCTGTGCCGACGAGAGAGCTCTTATGTCAGCCTAGTTAATCCACCACCTAAAGAGGGAGCAGCTGTGTCGATGAGAGAAGCCCTCCCTTTGACATAGCATTCTCTACACCGGGGGTGAGGTGGGTATAACTGTTGCTCAGGGATGTGGATTTTTCACACCCCTCGGGGATGTAGTTATACCGATGTAAGTCTGTGGTGTACACCAAACCTAAAAAAGTGTCTCCGCTAAATACAAGGTTGAACAAATAGTTCAGCATAAGTAGTTAGCATGTTTTAATGGGACCATTCAAGGTGAAGTGGCCCATTAACACCTCTGTGGTCATAGGACAGAAAAAGGGGGGTTAGTGGGTTATAGGTTGTTGTAATATGCCATAAATTCAGTGTCTTTAGTAGGACCATGATATTAGCTGTTAAAAGTATCCGTCTCAGACACAGCTTTGATCAGAGGTAGTCAAAGGGCCAAACCTGGACCGCCAGACACTTTTGAACAAACCCTCAAATCTTTTTATTGGCTTATTACTACTACTGTTGGTTTTTTAAATTATTTTCTCTGGAGCGTGGACCTTGAATATACCTTGACCAAAAAATAATGGACTACCTCTGGTTTAGATGTTGTTGAGCCTCCTCGCAGTGCTGTTTTGATTGCATTTCTTGGGTACCATGTACATTATTTGACATTTGAAAATTTGTTGGGGTGGGTTTGGGCGGAGGGGCACGCACTGTGTCTACAATGGCCAGCTAAATTATTAGTGATGGGCAAGCCTCCAGGGTGTGGGGACTTATTATGTACTTTGGGCTAGAAATCTTGGGAGATCAGGCTCTCGTAGTATTTTGGTTTCCAATGGAAGCAGCAATACAAAAAGAGTGACTACTTCTCACAGTAGTTTCCAACCCAGCCAAAAATCAGGAATTGCCAAAGTACAAAAAATATCAACCTGCGCTCCAAAATCACAGTAATTGATGGCAGGACTTTGAAAGAAGCCAGATATTTCTCCAAGGTGAACTGTAAATCAAAAATAAATTTGCTTGTACCTTTTACTGTTCAATGACGTTCAAGATAGTCGCTCCGAAAGTTTCAGAGAATCCTCTCAGGTGGTTGGCTGAGGTAGCGTTTTTCACCTTCCTCTGCAGCATAGGTCCTGCTAGGATTGTCTGGATATATCCCACCTAATCTCATCTCTCTGCCATTGCAGAGGCTTCTGCCATTAGTGGCACTTCAGTCACACCTGTCCTCTGCCTCTCCCGAGGACTGAAATGCATTGATCTAATGTCACTGGAGTCAACAAAGGGCATCTGGGTGAAGTTTAGGGTATGTCTACACTGCAATTACACACTCACAGCAAGGTTCGGGCTAAGGGGCTGTTTAATTGTGGTGTCGGCATTTGGCCTCAGGCTGCAGCCCAAGCTCTGGGACTCTTCCACCTTGCAAGATCCTAGAACCCGGGCTCCAGCCCAAGCCTGAACACGCTGCAATTAACAGCCCCTTAGCCTGAGCCCATAAGCCTGAGCCCTGGTCTACACTTGGGGGGGGAAATCTATCTAAGTACATTGACTTCAGCTACGTGATTCATGTAGTTGAAGTTGACATACTTAGATCGACTTACCATGGTGTCTTCACCGCGGTGAGTCGACTGCTGCCGCTCCCCTGTTGACTCTGCCTGCGCCTCTCGCAGCGGCGGAGTACAGGAATCAACGGGAGAGTGCTCGGGGATCAATTTATCGCTTCTAGACAAGAAGTGATAAATTGACCCCTGCTGGATCGATCGCTGCCTGCGGATCCAGTGGGTAGTGTAGACATACTCGGAGTCAGCTGGCAGAAGCCAACCGCAGGTTTTTAATTGTAGTGTACACATATACACAATGGCCTGTGATAATACAGGTAGTCAGACTAGATGATCTAATGGTCCCTTCTGGCCTTACATTTCATGATGTTTATGAAAAAAAATTTAAGAGCAAGGGCCATATTTTAAGGTAGTTAGGTGCAGACATATGTAGATGGGGCTAGTGGGATTTTCAGAAATGCCTAGGCACTAAACTCCCATTGAAGTAAAGCGAGGTTAAAATTGAAATAAATGGGAATTAGGGCACCTAGGCACTTGTGAAAACCTATTAAATGTCTATCTGCATCTGCAGACACCTAAATAGCTTTAAAAATCTGTCCCCTAGAATCAGCGTCACAGCACCTCTCAACTGGAGGGAATGAGCAATGCCACTACAGAGGTGAGAGACATCACTCTTGGGTTCCTCCAACAAAGAGAAAGAAGTAAGAGCCTTGCAATATCATTTGTTTTTATTAAAAAGTCTGAAGCTATGTTTTATTTGTAGTAAAGGGCAAGATCAAAAGTTTAGTTTTGCTTTGCAGCCTAACTTTAAAGAAAAGGCAGAGAGAAGGAAGAGGGAATAGCTGGGAGACAGATTTTTAGATTTCTAACATGGTTTGTCGGACAGGTGTGGAAGTGACCAAAGACTGTTGTAATAGTGTTCAAAATATAGGGATGCTAACTGGCCATATCAGATCAGCACAAAAGCTGCAACAGAGTAAACTAAACTTAAGATCCAAACTAGGGTTAAGAACCATTCTCAAGCACAATTTAAAGCCAGTGTAGATTAAGCTGTAATGACTACCGAAGTTTTAAACTACTTTGACTAAATTAGAGCAAGCTTTTCTCACTATTCTTGTTAGACTGAGTGTGGCTTCCAGAGAATCAGACTGGATGAGCTACCACTACTAGACGCAGGAGGGGTCAAGTGTTCTCGGGAGGCAAAAAGCAGTACATATCTCTGATTCCACCCATCTGAACACATGTACAACCCTGTTCGCAAATGTGTGCTTCTACAGACACCTTTAAGCCTATCAAAGGCAAGCAGAACTTGTATACTATGAATTACACTGAATTTAACAGCAGTTGTTGAATTGGACCACAGTTCAACAGCAGCCAGCCTAGCCTGTGTGCACAGGGCTGGACTATGTTGTAAGTGGCTTCTGACACACAGCGTACATTGCCTAGACCTATTTATACCAGAGCAGTTTCTGCACTCGGCTCCGCCCCATCCACGCAGATGGAACTCAGTTGGCCTTGTCTGCACTACCAATTCTGTCATGCTGGAGGAGAGTAGTGCCGTAGTGCCCTCACTATTATAATGTGGTACGGTCATGTCTATGAAGATGGGGCCAAACTGTGTTATAACCGTGTTACAGAATGGGGTTACAGCTCTAGGGACAAATTCCACCCTGGTACAAGTCACCATTGAAGTCACAAATCACTCTGACTTACTAGCTTACCAGAGAGCTGAATTTAACCACCTGGTCTCCAGAGGGCCATAACAGAGTTCCATAACATTTTCGTAACACCAGCTTGGTCACATAGGCAAAACCGTGCTATGTCATAACATAGTCAGGGCAGTGCCCCAACATGCTAAAATCCACAGTACAGACAAAGACTTTAAAAACTGTTAAAGTGTTTTTCTTTTCTTTAATGTAGATGGAACACAGGAGACTGTCATTACTGCAAGATCACCCAGTGCAGCATTTGGCAGTTGATGGAATGGAGAACATGACAGTATTTGTTTTTTGGCACTGGTTAATTAGTGCACAGTGCTGTAGATAGGAATGTACAAACTACATCTGGTTAAGAATAAAAAAAATATACAGCTATATTTAACACTTAAATTAAACACTTTTTTGCATACTAACAACCTCTTGTACATTCAGTTTTAAACAAAGATTCTTTAATAACCATAATTTTACAAGCTTTTTCCCCCTTCCCAAAAACCAGATGCTGCTTGAGACTTTTAAAGGTGAAAAACTGGAGCTACATTTAAAAATAGCCAGGTGTCTTACTACTGTAATGTATCACAGCATATTTTTCTTTCTGAAAACACAGATCTATCCATTCAAAAACTGAACCACTGTAGAGGTTCCATAAAACCAGCAGGGTTTGTTTTTATATGGATACTTTGGTTAACAGCAAATCATTCTTAAACAATGAAGGAAAAAAATCATTTCTTTTACCACCTCTAGAGATGCACTTCCTTGTCATGTTGTAGCAATCCACATCTTTATGGATGAGCACTGCAGCAAGTCAGAGAACACTAGTTTGCCTGTACTGAGATCTCAATAACTGGATTATAAACCAGGTTTAATATATTCCTAACACAGTTCTCTGGTTATCACAGAGAAGAAGCTACCTTTATTCCTTACAAAGTTAAAGCTGCAGCAGTACTTGCCACAACCCCACATTATTATACAAAATAGATGTTTCCCCTCTTGCCTTTCTGGTCAGGAGAATAGCTCTGGATTTTCGCTGAGCCCTACGTTTTCGGCAACCCAGTAGGTTGCGCAGCATCAGAGCATTTTAGCAAATGAAGTGCCACTGGACCTCATTGTAATGCAACGATTGCTTCTGCACAGGTCATACGGATTTCAGATCAGATGTGACCTCTGATTCACTGGAGCCTTACTTGTTTCCAGAGGAATGAATTCCCTCAACTTTGGGGCAGGAAAAAGAAACTAGACCTTTATCCCACTTCCATCTCACGTTATCCAATCCTCTCTGTTCCAGTACATTAGAGCCATCAAAAATCACACTCAAAAAAGGGGAGGTGTGTACAACTCTCCAGGAATAGATCAACATATCAGTCACTATGTAATACTGTAGCTGAAAAGCAAGAAGTCTGACTGAGAAACAAAGGCACTTGGTAACAGAAGATGAGAACACATTCCATTAAACAATCAGTGAGTCAACAGTTTAAGTCTTGTGATCCAACTGACCAGTAGTGAGGGCTCTGTGGAGGAAGATTTTGTGGGTGATGTAACAGAGAGTTTTTTAGCTCCTTCCTCCTGGAAAGGGATGGTTGCACTGTTATGAAGATCTGTATTCACAAAGCACCTGCTGCCTCTAATGTAGTCTGCGCCCCTCACTAACTGCCTGTCAGCCACTGGCCTTGCAAAATGCTGCTGCGAGGAGGAACTTTCTTCAATGATTGGGGGTATCCTCTCATTACTGAAGTACCTGCAGAGGACATCTTCACCTGCAGTAAAACAGAAGGTGGAAATCTTTATAGTTTTTGCCTCTACAATTCATTATTAAGTAACCATCTTGCTTTTTTATACCTATTGAGAGGATCTCAAGGCATGATACAAATACCAATTAAGGCACAAAAAGCGTGCTTATGAGGTGAATAATTATTATTTGCATTTTACAGATGGGTAAATTGCAGTCCATGGAGGTTTCAAGTGACTTTCCCATGTTTAGACCATGAAGTCAGTGACAGAACCTAGGAGTGCTGGCATCCAACCACCTGCCCTATCTGCGCACACTTAGCCAATAAAAGTGTGGCAAGGTTATTCAATACCCAAAACAAAATAAAATTGATAAGCACGGAACAGTGTTTGGAGGTTAATTGGAAGACTCAAACACGGCAAACCTGCTGTAAAGCAACATTTCACGTGAGTGAAAACCATGATGATGCATGTTCGGTGACTGAAAACATTGTTTTCATACTGTTGAACGACAAGTTGAACATACACCTACTCCTGACTCGCTGTAACCCTCTTAAAGCCACAATATTCTGTCTGGACACTGGAAATCAAGTCTTTTGAAAATATAAATTTAAGCTCTTTATTTCTGATTGCACATTTATATTGTACTAACAGTTCAGGTACATTTAAAAACCTCCTAAAATCTAAACAAAAAGCAGCCCTGCCACCTGCTGATCATTCTGTTGGATTGGCTAATTAGTCAGTTTTCAGCATTTTGCAAACCTCAAAGGAGCTTCTCTATATTGCAATGACCTTTCTTGGAAATGCACATAGTCTTCTGTAACTGACTTCAAGAACACGTAACAATAGTCATCCTGTCTGCTTTCCTATTCTGCACAGGTTCTTATACAACCCCATCACTACAGTACCTGAACTTCAGAGAAACAATATGAACCAGAAAGCTAGTATCCAACACCATCATACTAAGTTTCTCTGCCATTCTGTGCATGCTGCTTTAGGATCCCTCACCTCCTAATTGACCTCCCAATTGCCAAGCAGGTCAAGTGCTCATGCATAATCGCAAATCAGTTTTGCCAGCATGAGTACATGTTAAAAGAAATTTGATTTTCTCCTGGCTTCATTTAAAAAAAAAAAAATTGTTCAAATGGGACCATGTCCCATTAGCAACAAAAAACCTGGGTCCAAAATTTTAGAAGAGTCCTGATGACCCAATTTTGTTTTGGATTTCTTACCTTGACGTTTGCTGAAGCTTGAATTGGCACTTCTGGAGGAAGTGCTTCTTGTCTGTCTGACAATGATGCACTGTCTCTCGTGAGATAAGCATTGTCTATAGCATTCCTGGTTTTCTCTCCTTTTCCTTTCGCCTGGTCTCCTCTCCCTGCAATCACTTGGCTAAATCGTGCCTCTCATCCCAACCACTTTCTAAGAGCGTCAAGCTTCTAGTGCTGGACACTAGCAATAGTTGTAGTGGGGATAATTCCTGGAAAGCTCTGCTTCTAGCTTGCTTCAAAACCAGCCCCTACTACAGATTGAACAAACATAAAAGCTCTGATCAAGAAACAGCTTAGTCCTCAACATTCACGGGACAGATGTGGGAGGGACGCGAAGGGTATGTGGGAAATGGAACAGCCATTAGTAGAAAGCAGAATCATATACAAGTACAGATCTGCCCTAATCAGTCCAACCCATCTCAGATGCTTAAGTCAACTGCAAGACAGAACAACAAAGGTTTTGGTCTCAATGCAAACTAAGCCTGAGTTGTCCAACCACTGCCTCGTGTTATTAATACTTAAAGCATAAAACAGTGACATCGGCGCTGAACATCTGATCTGCAAACAGCAATCCTTTATTCCTAAATTTAAGATTTTATTCCTCCCAATTCATCTCCTGATTGAAGGAAGTTTTTGTTTGTTTTAATAGTCTTGCCTTTTCTTCCTTGTGCTCGGGGCCTCAAGAAAGGATCTGCAGCTCCCAGCCAGCTCCCATCTGCAGGCATTGACAGAGGACGAGGTTTTCCTAAGGGCAACATGGAGAAGGTTATAAGAGGAATGTACTGTTAAGTTTAGGAGAACATTATCTCATCTCCATTTATCTCATCACAGTGTTGTGGGAACAAATTATTTCAAGATAATTTTTGCTTTTAAAACAAGGAAGCATTATGAGGAGATCTGACAGCCACACAAAATGCTTATCTCCAACTCTACTATAACTGACCACCAAAAGTTACAACCGATGCACAAACGGTAAACCAAAATCTGATCTCATCCAGCTGGGCTTTGATGCCAGTCATTAAAGTAATGAACAACAGGGTTTAATTTTTAGTGAAATGAATAAGTGGATTCAAACTTAGAATTCTGTTGTTTATGTTTTCCTCAGATTACCTTTAAAATTCAGCGAGCAGTTCTCATTCTCTCACAAAAAATCCACACCCACCCAAGCATTTAAATCTTGAATAGCAACAATAAAAAGAGGCATGAACTCACCATAAGACTGTGTTTTTTCTCTCATCTTTGTTGGCAGTATATTTGCTTCCATGGGATATCCAGGCAACTGATCAGAATCCGCAATAGTAAACCTTCGCCTTCGGCTTTCCTGATCGAGGAAAGAATTAGGAGACTCTGCGCCCTTGGAGCCAGGTAATGGCTGCTTAGGTTTATTACCTCCTCCATAAACGAGACACTCCTTCTCATCCCTGAAAGGACATTTGCCTCAATTAGCAATGTGAAAGGTATTTTATACTGCAGTCATGAGCCCAGAATGAGCATTCTAGCTCAGAGGTGGGCAAACTACGGCCCGCGTGCCACATCAGGCCCGAGGGACCATCCTGCCCATCCCCTGAGCTCCTGGCCGGGGAGGCTAGTCCCCGGCCCCTCCGCCAGTGTCCCCCCTCCCCCGCAGCCTGAGCGTGCTGCGCCACGCCGCCAGCACAGCAGTGTGGCTGGCTCCGGCATGGTAAGGGGGCGGGGAGTCCCAGGGCAGCAGTCAGGAGCCAGGGAGCGGCGGGGTTGGATAGGCATAGGAGTCCCAGGGGGCCTCTCAGGGGTGTGGATAGGGGTTGGGGCAGTCAGGGGACAGGGAGAAGGGGGGGGGGTTGGAAAGAGGTTGGGGTCCCGGGGGGCAGTTAGGGGGCGAGGGTCCCAGGAGGGGGCAGTCAGGGGACAAGGAGCGGGGACTTGGATGGGTCAGGGATTCTGAGGGGGGCAGTCAGGGCGTGGGATGGGGCAGATAGGGGGTGGGGGCCAGGCTGTTTGGGGAAGCACAGCCTTCCCTACCTGGCCCTCCATATAGTTTTGCAACCCCGATGCGGCCCTCGGGGTTGCAAAGTACTTTGGATACTGTGGTTCTCTAGTGAATGCATTAAAAATTCTTTGAAGGGAAAAGTGCTGGTTAAAATAATGATGTTCTTAATTTTTTTTTCAGTTTTGGGTGCATATCCCTATTTGGGAGGTTTGGCATTTCAGTCATTACAAATGATATTAGCCAATGGGAGTATATCACCTTTCCTGCCCATTTACCAAAGTATGATTCTCTTAAGAGTTTTTAATTATAAAAAAAAAAAAATACTCCAATTAGATTTTCACATGTTCGAGGGTGGTTTCTGTATGAACTTCCCTTCCTAGAGTGACCATATGTTCATGAAAACCAGAAGCATCTGTTTAATTCTAAAAAAAACACACACACACCACCCCACAACCGTGATCTGACCCACTTTTTACACCCACTATAATATGATTATTTGAAGGAGCTGGCAACCAGCATGAGACAGACAGCAGGCTCTGAGTATATATGCACCTTAGGGCCCCCCCCATCCTCACTCATATAATTCCAGGCCTATCCAGGCCTCTACGGGGCCCAAGAGACACATGTACAGTCATATCTATGGGAATTCAGATCAGAGCCACACAGAACTGAAGCGAGTGTCTAGCCTACAGAGAGCTCAGCTATGTCACCACCATATGCAAGAGGCAACTGAGACAGGCTGGGCAAATGCCCATGGTTCTCTTCACACTAAGGGTGGGAGGAGAGAAATGACAACAGGATACAAAATATAAAAGGAAGTGGGCACCCTCTCTCCTGCTTCCAGATGCCAAAAGCTTCCCACGTTTACTTCCTTAAGGGAACAAAACCAACATACAACTATCTACTGCCTTTCCCTGCCCCGTCCAGGAGGGGTGTCCAAGTTTTATAAACCCCCACCCCCTAATTCCAACTCTATCCCTACACACACTTATTCAAGATGCACACAGTTGGGCTTAGATTTGCTATTCTGGTCCTAAAAAACCTTAAAAGGGCTTTTTAAAAGCACTGCAGAGCCTCATAGTAAAAACTGTTTAAAAATGCTAATCAAAGCATATCTAGTCTGACAAATTTTAGCACTGAAGACCAATGTTTTAAAAACCTGAGTATCTCAGTTAGGTTGCTAAATACATATTTATTTACACTTATGTTTCGTATTTATGGACAAGTCACCTGACTTTCAGAAGTGCTGAGCACCCAGCACCTTTTCAGGAGTATTACCATGGGAGGGGAGACTAGGTAGGTCAGATCACCAATGATTTGGGAACAGCCTAAAGCTAGCATGATCTCAACCACCTGATATCTCTCTCTCTCTCTATCTCCCCTCATGTGACTAAGTCTGAATTTTATTATGGATTGAGATCCTCAAAGACAAAAATACAGCCTGCCAACTGATTCTTTTACTCTGCCTAGAGTACTCCTGAGTTTTAGGGTTCTTTGGGTCTAACAAATTTAAAACCGGTTGTGTTCAATCATAAAATTCTTCCAAGTAGTTATTGAAGCTGATCAGAACAGAACATCGGAAAAAAGTATGTCATGAAAAGGATTAAGTATGGCTATTTTTGCTACTCAGTGGTTTTTCACATGCCAGAATAACACCCATTAAAGTTTTTTGGGCAACTCTGCTCTATGTAGCACACAGTGATTTTCTAAAACTGTACACAATTGTTTTCTCCAACAATAAGAAGTACTTAGTGGCTTATGCATTTACTAAGCCCAGAGAAAATCTGCAAGATCTGCAATTTCCTCAAGATAATTTGCACTGAGTTTTGCAGGCAAGCCAGCATAGAGAAGTCTGATAAAAAGGAACTTTTTGTTCAGTAGTGCATGCTTATCTGCATACCGAGGAGAATATGGAACAGCTGGTGGTGGAGGTATATAGAGGTCCAGGATGGCTGGCTTCTCTTTCTTCATCGAGGTATCCATGGTGCTTTCTGGTGACTGAGTTGTAGTTGGTGGAGGACTGGTCTGAAATTAAAGCAATATAATACCTGTAAGATATTTTTGAAATTATCTTCTCCAGCATCTCCTACCACCCACCAGAAGAAGCCAACCCTATAATCAGAGAGTTACCATATTTTACACTGTGGAACTCACTGTCGAAATAGACTATTCAATGTGTATATGAGACTACAGAAGTTATTGCTGATGTAGGGACAGTGATGGATGTCTTCAGTATGCTGAAGAAATATAATTTCATTCAACCCATTGGCATGGTTGAACAATTTACTTTATGTCTAAAGGGCATGGATGAGTACAAGATATCAGACAATGTAGGTAACACTGTTAGGGTAGAGGAAGAAAAGCATGGAATATTTTTGCCCCACTATTTGGAAGGTTTGCCCTGCCACCTCTTACTCAGTTTCACAACCTCCTAGTGCAGCAGAGGTTATAAGGAGTGTTTTAATCTTTCCCTAGCAAGGAGATTGTATCCTTTATTTTCGATGAAGATCTTTCCACAGCTGTCCATTATTTTGTCACCTTGTGGGTAGATCACTAGTATCCAGTTTACATAAAGCTACACCTTGAAACCCATTTGGAAGTTGCTCGTGCACCAAGCGCTTGCTCATTTATCAGGTTGTATTTCCCAAAGGGATAAATATAAAAGCTGCACCAGTTGATTTCTCTGAAGTTTCAGATTGATCTAGAAAGCCAACAAATGGTTTGATCTCTGACTACCACAGAGATCACCTCTCCTTCTTCGTGATACCACAGCAAGAAAAGGTTACTTACTGTAACTGAGTTTTTGAGATGTGATGCAAACATCTATTCCATGTAGGTGAGTGCGCACCCAGCATGCTGGAGACAGACACTCTTGCCTAGCAGTACCCATAAAGGGGTGGGACTTGAGCCTCATGACTGTGGCCCCAAGCCTGGCTCTGTGAGGCAGCACCACCCCAACCCTCCTCAGTTCCTTCATACTGAAAGCCCATGAGGAGATGCAGGTGCAGATTGGACAGAGGGAGGATTGTGGAATATATATCTGCATCATGAAAAATCAGTTACCATAAGTAACCGTTTCTTCTTCTTCTTCGAGTAGATGCCAACATGTAATCTACATAGGCGGCTCACAAGCAGTACCCCAATCTGGAGGCGGGCTCGAAGTCTACTGAAATAGGGATCGCAGGACTGCCCTTCTGAGGTGTGCATCTGCTCCGGAAGATGTGACAATAGCATAATGGTCTGTAAACATACCTATGAGTGACCACTAGGCTGCCCTACAAGTGTCCAGTCTGGAAAATGGTCACTGAGGAAGGCTATCGATGTCACTCGTGGAGAGAGCCCGTATCTGCTGACGAAGCAAAGCCGATGCCATCTCAGACCGTCTTGATACAGGATATTATCAATCTAGAGATGGTCTGTGCAGAACTATTTTCCCCTTCATGAGGTGCGCATATGACATAAAATGGTTTAGTCCTGTCTAGATAAAAGGCTAGACATCACCTGATGTCCAGACTATGGAGGCGCTGTTCCTCGGGGGAAGAGTGCAGTTTAGGGGAAAAAACACAGGTAAATACCGTCGGCTGATTTAGATGAAAGAGACCATCTTAGATAAAAAAACTTTGGGTGTGGTCACAACGTTACCTTGCCCTTCAAGAACTGAGCATAAGGCAACTCCGCTATTAGGGCCTGCGACTCTCACATCCTTCTTGCCGAAGCAAAGGCTAACGGGAACACAGTTTTCTGAGACAGGAGGGGAAGTGGGTAGGGTGCAAGGGGCTCAAATGGAGAGCCCATCAGCGCCGAATGAACCATGTTTAGGTCCAACAAGGGAATTGGCTCTTGAACCAAAGGACGCAAGTGGAGAAGCCCTTCAGAAATCTCATTACCATGGCATTAGAAGAAAAAAAAATTCCCTTGAATAGGGGGGATGAAACACTGATATTGCTGCCAAATGCATTCTCAGTGAACTGAGCACAGGGTACTCTAAGAAGTCCTGGATGAAAGCCCCTATTGTTTGAGTTCTATGGGCCAAGGACCACACCAAGAACCTCTTCCATTTCACTAAGTAGGCCGTCCGAGTGCAGGACTTCCTCCTACTTTTGAGTAGATTTGTTGGACAGCCTCCGAACACTGCTCTTCCTCTTCATTCATCCATGCCACAGCCATTGCACAATATGCAGGAAGCTGATCACAGGATGCAGGGTCCAGCTGTGGTTCTGAGTGACAAGGGTGAGGATGGAGACAGTGTGGAAGTTGAATAACAGAGCAAGGAGATCTGAGAACCAGCACTGTCTCAGCTGTGCTGGAGCAATAAGGATGAACTTGGCCCAGTCCACCTTAAGCTGGAGGATGGACCTGAGGAATGATCAGAATAGGTGTAATGGTGTACAGAAGAGTTGACCACCAGCTGCAGTGGAAGATATTTGTGAGAGTGCCTCTGCTGAGGCCCCGTCAAGAGCAGAATACTAGTCACTTTCTGTTTTCCCTTCTCACAAACAGGTAGATCGCGGGGATGCCCCATGTTGCAAAGATGACCTGGAAGACACTCTCCTTCAGAGACCACTCATGACTTAGGGAAAAAACCCTGCTGAGGTGGTCCACAAGACAACAACTTTGCACCCCCAACAAGTGGACTGCTACCGTAGTGATGTCTTCAATACAAAATTGTCACAAGTTGATCCCTAGAGGAAGAGTAACACGGAATGCACTTCCCCTTGTTTGTTCACATATTACATCGCGATGGTTTCGTCGGTGAGTATGTGAACCACTGAGTTTCTGATGTGGTCCTGGAAGTCACAACATGTATTGTAGATGGCCCAAAAGTTCCAACATGTTATGGAGTGAGGCTTCCTATCCTGACCACAGACCCTGCACCCTCAATGAGTCCAGATGTCCATCCCTTCCTCCCCACATCCAGAAGGGAACCACTGACTTGGTTGGCAATGGCCGAGTGAAGGAGACTCCTTAGCACACATGGTGTGGGGACTCCCACCAGCACAAGGAATCTAGGACTACTGAAAGACAGCGAACCAACCTATCCAGGCTATGCAAAGCAGGACAATAAACCATCCTGAGCCACATCTGAAGAGGGCGAAGGCACAGCCTGACAAACTGGACCACTTGCATGCAAGCGGACACGTGACCCAACAGGCTCAGACACAAGCGGACTGTCATGGAGGGCTGAGGCTTTAGACTGAGTCAGAGCCATTGAAATGCTTGGAAGCAGTTGGCTGGCAGGAACACCCTCGACCTCATAAAATCTAACTTGATTTCTTGAGTAGAACCAAGGTTGACTTTGTGGTGTTTAAAATGAGTCCCAGACGGTCAAGCAAACACTATGTGGTGTCGATGTGGGCTAGAACCTCCTCTCTGGAGCCACCCATCAGTAACCAGTCATCGAGGTACAGGAAATTGAAGATTCCCTTTCTCCTGAAATATGCCATGATCACCACCATGCATTTGGTGAAGACTCGAGGGGAAGAAGAGACCCCAAACGGGAAAACCATATACAGAAAGTAACATTCTCCTACCACAAAACAGAGAAACCTCCTGTGGCTCCATAGAATTACCACATGAACATAAGCATCCTGAAGATCCAAAGCAGCGTACCAGTTGTTCTGAGACAGCACGGGAAGGATAGCCAATAGAATGGCCATTGTGGAATCTCATGTACTTGATTAATTTGTTGAGGCCGCGAAGGTCAAAAATAGGTCTCTCATCCTGCTCTTCAGTTTCAGCATCAGGAAATACTGGGAGAAAGAGCTGTGGCCCAGTGTTCCTGCAGAACTTCCTCTATTGCTCCTAATGTCAACAGAGAGCTGACCTACTTGATGAGCAATGTCTTGTGAGAGGGGTCCCTGAAGAGGGATGGAGGGTTTGGGGATGAAGGTGGGGGTGGAAAGAGAGCAAGGAGAGGAACAGGATTGTAGCCCGATCTGACCGTGTCTAGGACCCTGCTGTCGGAGGTAATTGAGTCCCAAGAGAGGGCAGAGTAATGACTGGGCCATTGCTCTGGACTAAGGAGTCAAAATAGGTGCTTAGCCAGCACCAAGGGAGTGTGTGTGGATTGTCCAAAGCCTGAGACCAACTGCTTCCTCTGCGTCCCACTGTTTCAGAGGGAAAGGTTGCAAAAAGGATTGCTGCAGGCGATAATGTTGCTGCTGCTGCACCCTACAGTGGTGTTTTTGTGCAAACAGCATGTAAACTCCTAAGAACCGCAAGGTAGCCCTGGAAACCTTAAAGGAGTGTAGAGTGTCATTGTCTTATCCAAGAACAAAACAAGACTTGGCTGTCAAAAAGCAAGTCCTCGATGGACTGCTGGACTTCCAAACCAATCCCAGAGTTCTGCAACCAGGAAGCCCATCTCATAGTTACTGCCGAGGCCATGACCAGGTGTCCATAATGTCAAAGGCAGACTGCAAAGACATTTTGGCCACCAAGCAGCCTTCCACAACAAACGCACGAACTTCCTCATGCAAGACATTGGGCAACTGGTCTTTGACTTTAGATATGGCTGTTCAACTGAGCAATCATACTTGGACAGCAAAGCTTGTTGATTAGCAATCCTCATCTGTAGGGATGAGGAGGTATAGATCTTACTGCCCAAAAGATCCAACCGCTCCGAGTCTCTGTCATTGAGTGTTGTGACAAAGTTCCTGCTCTACCTTGGTGGGTCTTGCGTTCACTGGCAGATTTGCTCGCCTTGGAGCTTCACAGCAGCCCTCAGCTTGGCCGTTTTTCTGAACCCACAGTCCAGGTCAAGTCCTCCTATGTCTGACCAGGAGTTGGGAGGTTTGGGGGCAACCTGGGCCCGCCCTCTACTCTGGGTTCCAGCCCAGGGCCCTGTGGAATGCAGCTGTCTAGAGTGCCTCCTGGAACAGCTGTGTGACTGCTACAACTCCCTGGGCTACTTCCCCATAGCCTCCTCCCAACACCTTCTTTATCCTCACCATAGGACCTTCCTCCTGGTGTCTGATAATGCTTGTACACCTCAGTCCTCCAACAGTCCGCGTTCTCACTCTCAGCTCCTAGTGCCTCTTGCTCCCAGCTCCTCACACTCACATCACAAACTGAAGTGAGCTCCTTTTTAAAACCCAGGTGCCCTGATTAGCCTGCCTTAATTGAGTCTAGCAGCTTCTTGATTGGCTGCAGGTGTTCTAATCAGCCTGGCTTAATCGTCTCCAGAAGGTTCCTGTTTGTTCTGGAACTTTCCCTGTTACCATACCCAGGGAAAAGGGACCTACTTAGCCTGGGGCTAATATATCTGCCTTCTATTACTCTCCTATAGCCATCTGGCCTGACCCTGTCACAGTGTAGACTTAAACCTACCCTGCCAGGCCCAGTTGTTTACTGCCATTATGATCAGGGAATTCAGGGCCAGGCAGAAATAGAACCCCTCAAATCATGGGAACAAAATAGCACTTTTCCATATACTAAGCCACCAGCAGTACCAAGGCCGGTGTACTCCAGAGGTCGCTGGCTCGAGGAGTGCATCATTAATTGGGAGGGCCACTCTCACAGGGACATTGGGCTATAGAATATCTACTAGTTTGGGTGTGTTCTCTTTGAGAAACTCTGCTTGTATGTCAAGGGATTTGGCTACACAGCATAAAAGGTCCCGATGCACATTAAAGTCCTCCAGAACCAAACGGCACAGCATAGTCCAGCAATGAGGATGAGGGTCTTGGCTGAGTGCAAACCGGCTCTTACTCCCAGGAAAGCATACCCAAGAGGGAGGACTTTGGAGATTCTACTGGGAGGAAGACTGCCAATGCCTAGGCTTGCAGCTGATCCGCCGTCACCATTGTTGACCTGGCATGGGATTTCGGCTTTGAACAAGACAAGGAATGGGATCACTGGGAATGAGGAGCATCCCGCTGAGTCCAAGGAGGTCACTGATATGGATAGGGCATTGGTGGCCAGTAGGAGCACGGACAGGGAAATTCTTCCCAGCCTGGGAACATGCCAACTCTGAGAACCATACTGGTCCACTGGCGGACCTCGGAGCTCATCATGTGATGCAGAACAAGAAGATGACGACGCTCCCTCAGAATCAGAAAAGCCCCAAGATCTCAGAGACATGGGAGAAGCGATGCTCAAGGGAGCCAACAGGCAGTCCGATTCATCCGTCACCCAGAACGAGATGGAATTCGTGCCCCCGATGAAGGCCGAGCATGTTGGTGCTGCAGGCAGCGTTGGTCCCGGTGCAAACACTGGTACCGGAGCACCCAAGCATGTCAATGTCGAGGGTGATGAGAGCCACTATGGGAGCATCTGCAGTGTTGAATGTAGCAGGGCCGAAGATGGTCCCAGTGCCACGGTCCCCCATACCGATTCTGATCGGGGTGCTGGAACAATTTGCGTAATGAAAGTGCTGAGAGCCATTGAACCAAACTGCAAACTCTCAAAATAATGGAAACCTTCAAGCCGGGGTGTGTGGCAGCACACTAGTTCCAGCACCGGCTCTCTCCCCATCATGGGGAGGGGAGGGTCTGGATGTGGTTCTGACAGACATGAGGATTCAGAGGGGATATAGGTGATGCAGCCCTGGGAGGTCCTGGACCAAAAGGCAGAGTAGGACCACAGCTGCCTGGTATGCCTACGAAATGGACACTGTGGGTACCAGCACTCCCTCATCAGTACTGGCCTCAATGGACACCCAGAGGCCGGAACCAGACCAGATGGTACAGGGTTTCTGCCCTTCCCTCTTGGTACCAGAGAAGGGTCAGAGGCACCAATGCCATCCCAGATGCCAGAAATGATGCCGGGCCAGACTGCTCTTTTCTGGGGGAGGCAGAAGAGTCGCCCCGCAACCTAGAGCTGTCCCAGTTGGTCTTATGAGATCTCTTCGTTGGCACTGATGATGGAGAAAGGCTCCTCTGCCTCTTCGGAGAGGCACTTGCCCTGTAACAAGAGGTGGCAGTGCTTTCCACGCCCAAGAATGATCTTCAGCCCGAGGAGGGCCTCAGTACCGGAACAGGTTACATGGCCTGTTCGTGGAGGTGCTGCTTGATGTGAAAATCCCACGCCACTTGAGTCCACTTCTTGAATGAGATTGCACAATGCTCTTTTGCCGAGACAAAGCAAAGCGCTTCATGTAGGGGGCATTGCTGGGGATCACCCCTCCACACAAAGGATAGTAAGGGCTTCACCAGGGACACAATCGAGCAATTAACACTATCTACTGACTAACTAAAATAAACTAGGCTAAGACTTAATGTGAGGTTGAGAGTCTACAACCACACAGAGCTCTGACTCCAGCCAATGGCAATGAGAAGGAACTGAGCGGGGAGGGGAGGAGGTCAGAGGGGCAGCACCTCATATAGTCGGGGAGGGACCACAGACATGACCACCACCCCTCTACAGGTACTTCTAGGCAAAAGTCTCCAGCTCCAGCGTGCTGGGCACAGACACACCTAAATGGAATAAACGTCTGCATCTATACAAGAAGAACTGTGATCAGCTGACGCACTCAAGCTAACAGGCCCTGGGAGGGGCCAGACAGTCTCAGAATCTCCTAAGCTTTGAAGAAAACTTCTCTCCCTGTGGTCTGCCAGACCCTGGATTTGATGTCCTTCAGGGGAAGCTTCAAATTCTCTTTTTTCTCTTGCAGGGGAGAGGGAGAATGAGGAGGAAGACTATCTTCTTAAAACCTGTCATCATAGCACTCAAGTTCCTGGAATGGAGGGTGTGTCCAAGAGAAAATGATATGTGTGGATGCAGGAGGGTTAGTTTTGGACACTGGGGCAGAGTTTTTATATTGGATAGATTTATTAGTATTTTATATATGCACCCAGATCTTTAGATGGTCACATTTTAAATGACTCTGTACTATAAATAGTGTCCACATTGTAAACCATGTAAAATAACGATGCTCAAAGAGCACAGGTGTAAGATGATAGTCTCATTCATAAGTAGCAAGGAATTCAGATTTACAGCTTTCTGGAGCATGCATGCACATACACACACCCCTCAAGCACTCCAGATAGCCATCTATACACTTTGCTGAGAAAAAAGTACCCCCATAGCTATAGACATCTTGTGCCAGAACAGAGGCTGGAACAAAGGAAAAAATGGTACCTGTAGTCATAGGCAATTTATTAGATTAGAATGTAATTAATTGTATCTTCCTGTAGCTGTTAAACAAATTGCTTTCTGCTATAACATGCTGTATTCCAAAACTAGTCTTTGAAGTTATTAGAACCCCTGTTCCTCCCCTACCCGTTACCCCGCCTCTGGCTTTCCCAACGTCCAAATTATGCTTACATACGTCATTTGACCACGTACACAAAACAAGAAGCTCACACCCTTTTCTTTCAGTGCTTGAACTACTTTTCCCTCTCCAGACTAAAACGGAAGTATACATTGGATAACATTGGTTTGGAGAACTTATACGAGATTATCTTTGCTGAATAAACTAATCTTGGTATTTATTGTTTATTTACAAAATTCATCAGTGCAGATTATCAGCCTTTCAGCCTCAAATGACTTTTTTCTAAAATCAGTGCCTTGAAAACTTGGATTATGAAAGTCAACATTAAATACTCTTATTCTTTTGGAATGTTAGATGAGATTTGGCTAAAGAAAGGATCCTTTCCCATTTTAATTCTGATCCAAAAGGGACAGCCACTGCACAACGAACACCCCCAAAACTCCATAGATATATGGTCACATTGGCTGTTGATGTCAGATATTAAAAGAATAAATTATCTTGGGGGGGATTGCAAAGTAATTCATATCCAACTATTAACGTATGAACACAACTCTTCCATCAGTGTATCACCTGTACAAGTGGTGGTTTCCAGCGTAGGTTCTTCAGTGGGGCCGGAGTAAAATTAAAAGAGCCTGTAGGACGTTTCTTAAGTAGCAGTTTAACTCCAGCAGGATTCTCTCGCAACTTTCCCACAAGGTTTTTTAGTTGCCATCCCACCTTAAAAAGAAGAAAAGGTACCTCTTGCATGCATTCAGAATGAATGGAATATAACTAGGTCAGACTGTTTCTCTCAAACAACACAAACAATAGAAGAAACCCACTGAAGCAGCTGTAAAGGGTACAAAACTTGAAACACTAATTTTTTTTCTTTTTTAGTAGGTCTCTCAAAAATGTATCACAATTATTTCAAGTGCACATCCATTTTGTGATAGGTCAGGCTCCAGAGTTCAGCATGGGCTTATGCATTTGCTCAACTTTGAACACGAGTAGTCACACTGAATTACTCCAATATAATTATACCTGATATTTAATGCCACTGAGTTCTATGGGTCTGCTCTTGTGTGTGAAGTTAAATGCAAATGTGACTGTTTATGGGACAGGGAACTAAAATGAGGGGGGAGAGGGAGAATCCCTCAACTCTCCGAAGGGCAAAAAGGTATTTGCCAAAAAAATTTCTTTAAAAAATACCAACTTTTTATTAATAAAACATATACAAATTCAACATTTCACTTTAAACATAGGCCCTAAGTCAGAAATCATTTTATCCAAAAATATTGCAAGGATTTATTGAAAAACAATGTGTGATAAAAATCAAATCTTTCAAGTATTTTCAGTAGAAGAAATGACTTCTACATTAAAGTGAAACCATTTTTACACATATTGCAATAAGGACACACACAAAAAAACCCCCTAAATACAAAGCTTGTTACCCAATTATCATCTTGGAGGGAAAAGTCTTGCAGAACAAGCAAGGCTTAGGAAAAGGTTGATAGGGTTTTTGATTACTTACTACAGTCTGATGATTAACCTGGATCACCTCATCACCAGCATGAATCTTTTGAGATCGATCAGCGGGGGACTACAGAGAAATAAATAAGAGGCATGCGTTTCAATAGGCTTTCCCTTTTTCTAAAAAGAAAAAAAAAAAAAACACAGAAAACCAAACACAACCCTGCTCTTTTATGCCAAAACTCAGATTGTGAAAGTAATATTTAAAGCAGCAGCAGAGCTAATATGTGTATATATAAACTATATTTATACACAGAACTGTAAAGTGTGTATTATGTCCCCAGTACCCACGTGGTTTGAAAACTCATAGCGATCAGGGGAGGTCCCGGAAGACAGGGAAAAGGCTAATGTAGTGCCCATCTTTAAAAAAGGAAACGAGGAGGATCTGGGGAACTACAGACCAGTCAGCCTCACCTCAGTCCTTGGAAAAATCATGGAGCAGGTCCTCAAGGAATCAATTCTGAAGCACTTAGAGGAGAGGAAAGTGATCAGGAACAGTCAGCATGGATTCACCAAGGGCAAGTCATGCCTGACTAACCTAATTGCCTTCTATGATGAGATAACTGGCTTTGTGCATGAAGGGAAAGCAGTGGATGTATTATTCCTTGACTTTAGCAAAGCTTTTGATACAGTCTCCCACAGTATTCTTGCTAGCAAGTTAAAGAAGTATGGGCTGGATGAATGGACTATAAGGTGGATAGAAAGCTGGCTAGATCAGGGGTCAGCAACCGGCGGCATGCAAGCTGATTTTTAGTGGCACTCTGCTGCCAGCCAGGGTCCTGGCCGCCAGCCCTGCTCAGCCCGCTGCTGGCCTGGATGGACAGAACCCCGGGCTGGCAGCAGGTTGAGTGGTGATGGCAGCCGGCACTCTGGTTGGCAGGGGCCGGAGGAGGGAACCCCAGACTAGCAGCGGGCTGAATGGATCAGCACACTGCCGGTCTGGGGTTCCATCTGCCACCTGTACTGCCAGTCTGGGGTTCTGTCCACCAGCCCCGCTCAGCCTGCTGCCGGCCGAGGGTTCCCTCCATCCAGGCTGGCAGCGGGACCCCAGACTGGCAGCGCGGGCAGCAGACAGAACCCCAGACCAGCAGGGAACTGAGCCCCGGCCGGCCGGGGTCCCGTCTGCCGCTGGCCCCAGCCGGCCAGAATCCTGTCTGCAGCCTGGAGGGAATTTTCTGACAAAATGGTTTTTCATTGGAAAATATCAATTAATCAAAACAGAACTTTTTTGCAGGACTTTATCAGTTTTGACAGAACTGTCACCGGGAACAGTTTCTCAGGTCTAGGATGTAATTCCTGGTCTAAATCAGAACTTCAAGTCCCTGCTCTGCCTGATTCGGACCAGACACTTGAAGTAAATCAGTCTCCCACATCTCAGCATATGGCTGTTCTGTGATCTCAGTCTCTCCTGTTGGATCTGTTCAGCTTTGTATAAATAAATACTCAGCTTTCACAATTTAGCAATTGAGACATTCACCCTCCCCACCTCCCGGACTCCAGAATAGCCCATGGGTTAGGGCACTCAGCTGGGATATGGGAGACTGACATTCAAGTGTCAGGTCTAAACTGGGCAGAGCAGGGACTTGAATTTGTTTGTCCCATGTTCCAAGTGAGTGCCCTAACCAGTGGGCTATTCAAGGAGAAGCACACAGACACGCTCTCTCTTTTTGGGAAAATCCTTGAAAAAAAGATCTCAGTTTGGTCCCAATGTGGATCAGGAACACATCTGAAACCTCTAAATTTTTCACGAGACAGGAAAACACCAAGCTTCAGTTAATATACACCCATCTGTGCCGGTTCCTTATCCTAGCCTCACACCCAGAACACCCCCAAGACACACCAGTCATCTCAGACACTTCAATTTGGATGTTCTAGAGTCTGTGTTAGCTAACAGCAGGTCAGATAGTTATCATCAATAGCAACATAAACCTAAGTAAAGAAAAAGTGGCAATTAATAAGTGCTAAGAAAATCCAGGAACAGGAGCTAAGATGACCATCACAAATTGTTTGGTTCTACAGGGATGGAATAGTCAGCTGCATTGCAAAGAGTTTTTAACTTTGTGCTATTTTAAATTTGGTTTAAAAACAAAATGTCTACACAAACTACACTGAATAAAAGGTTTTAGAGGAGAAAACAGCTTTGAAGTGGATAATAAAAGATTAAACATATCCTATTAAGAAACAATATGGGCACTGTTAGTTATTTATGTTGCTACTTGTTATAACTGAATCTAAACACAATAACGTGGTTTCATTTAGCGTGTTCACTAAAAGCCTTAAGTCTCAAATACTGAAGATATATGACAGAAAAGTAACGAGTGCAGCTGGGGCCATTTCATTTTTCCCCTCACTGCTTACTAATCTAAATGAAAGCTGCAAGTTTTCATTTAAGTCCCTAATTTAGTCATTTAATCCAAATGTCTGCATCAAGAAAATAAGAAAATTATATTTAAGTAACAGGACAACATTATGTGTGCGCATGATGTGTACTGAGAGATATAGGTGTTAAAAAACCAACAACATTTAAAAATTAATTTCCTCCCCAAACAGACAACATGCTCAGCTAGACATTAACAAGCAGCTGTTAAACATGTAAATATTTACTCTGAGTTATCTAAAGCTGGTGCCATGCACAGGTTACTGCTACAGTTATTTAAAAAATATTCTTGCTACCATAACAACATATCAACTCTGATGAAGCCGTGGCAACACTGGCAGAACAGAGATACACTAACAGACGTGTCCACAGTGCAATTCACACAGGGAGGGCTACTCACCATAGCAAAAGCCTCACTCTCTCCCCACAAACAACAATATGGATAGGAGGACAATATCCCTGAGCTACTGAAGAACTGAAAGCCTGGATGGAAGTTTCTCTCTCATCACCACCAGACCTTCAAAACTCAAGTAATATCTTGTAATAGTGGGACACTATAGGAGTAAATTGTGCAATGAGGAAGATGCTGTACATGTGACAGAGGCTCCAACTACTATGAGTAACCACATTTCTTTGCAAAAAGAAAAGGAGTACTTCTGGCACCTTAAGGTGCCACACATACTCCTTTTCTTTTTGCGAATACAGACTAACACGGCTGCTACTCTGACACATTTTTTTGCTATCCTCTTGCTTCTTCATCAAGGAAATGCCTGTTTGGAGGGGTGAATACTGTCCAAACCAAGGCTAACAGCATCTTTTGGGCTGTGATTATGCTTGCAGAAAACATTCTAGGGGGGGTCCCACACAGGTCAGTTCTGGGTCTGACACTATTCAATATCTTCATTCATGACTTGGATAATGGAGTGGAGAGCAGACTTACAAAACCTGTGGAAGATATTAAGGGGTTGCAAGCACTTTGGAAAACAGGATTATATTTCAAAACTACCTTGACAAATTAGAGAATTGGTCTGACACTGAATTCAATTAGATAAAATTCAAAAAAAATTGCAAAGTACTATATTTAGGAAGGAAAGAAATCAAATGAACACCTACAAAATGGGGAATAACTGGCTAGGTGCAGTACTGCTGAAAAGGATCCGGAGGTTATAGTGGATCACAAATGGAATGAGTGTCAATAATGAGATGCAGTAGGGAAAAAGAACATCTCAGAATATTAGCCTAACAGGAGCATCACATGTAAGAGTCAGGCGGTAATTATCTCACTCTACTCAGCACTGGAGAGGCCTCAGCTGGAGTACTGTGTCCAGTTCTGGGTGCCACACTTCAGAAAAGATGTGGATAAAAGGGAGGGAGTCCAGACAAGAGCAACAAAAATAAGATTTAGAAAACCTGACCAGTAAGGAAAGGTTAAAGAACTATGCCTGCTTAGTCTTGAGAAAAGAATACTGATGGGGGACCGGATAACAGTCTCCAATATGTTACGGGCTGTTATAAAAAGGATGGGGACCAATTGTTCTCCAAATCCACTGCAGGTAGGACAAGTATGGGCTTAACCTGCAGCCAGGAAGATTTCATTTTTTTTCTAATAGCTAATCTAACTGTAAGGGAAATTAAGCTCTGGAACAGACTTCCAAGGGAGGTTGTGGAATCCCCATCATTGGAGATTTTTAAGAACAGGTTAGACAAAAGAGGTGTCAGGTATGGTCTAGGTTTTTGCTTGGTTCTGCCTCAGTGCAGGGGGCTGGACTTGATGACCTCTCAAAGTCCCTTCCAGCCCTATATTTCTGTGATTCCTGATTCATTAAGCAGTGAGCACTGAATTCAGAATATCCTACAGGATGATCAACAGTCTGCTTGAGAGATCTCAGATAGTACATATATAGCCAGTTTCAGCTCACAAGGCAGCTATTCCACGCCTATGGAGAGCATGGAAGAAAGTGGAAAGTTTTGTTTTGGCCAGTGTGTTCTCATGCAACACAGGAAATCACGAACAGGCAGGAAGATCTTGGAAATCCTGTCAACTGACTGAAATTAGACAGTGTATTGATTTCCTGGAACCATTCAGTGTGGTTGGTGCAGTACTAGAGTTCTGATAACAGCCACCTGGCAAAGGTTTCATTCACATATGTTAAAAGTAATTTTTTGAGAGCTAAATAAAATGCAGATACTACTTTGGTCAGAAAGGTAGTTTGTAGCCAAATATAAACTAGATCTTTTGTCATCAGAAAGGGGGGAAAGAGTCTAATTATTGCTAGTAGATCTCTCACTTTCATCTCCTAGTTGATGTTATTTCTCCAAGGAGAATGCGGTTTCCTAGAAGAAGAACTGATACTTACAGATTCACCTGGGTTCAGAGTTTTGGTTTATGGTTGCAGCAGAGTCTCACTCAGAGCTTTCAGCCTGTGTTTCAACTACCTATACAACTTAATGGTGACCAAAGTTACAATCTTTTACAATCTATCAAATGTTGACATTGCTGCACAGTAGACTCAGTCTTTCAGCCTATGGTGAACAAGTTATGCCAAATAACCCAGTAAGATTAAGAGTTGGCAGATATAAAAGATTATAGTTTTCATGATAAATGGTAAGTACAGATTTCCACCCACTCCTCCCTAATCACTATAACTTAGCAAGGGTTCAGAAGGAATCACCAGTCCTTTTTCTAACTAGAAAAGATCACACAAGCTGCACTTCACAGGTTCTTCCTTTCAGCAACCACACCATCCACATAGATATAGTCCTACTATTATTATCTATTTGGATTATAGTAGCACCTAGGAGCCACAGTCATTGACCAAAACCCTATTGTGTTAGGCACTGTACAAGCATACAATAAATAGGCAACAGTCTCAGCACACCAGAGGACTAGTATCTAGACGGCAACATCCTAAACCCAAGAGGGGGAAAAAAAAAAAAAAAAAAAAAAAACTTTTTGTGATCTTAGCTGCTGTTACTTTGCCACTGAGAAGCACATAGTTTATTCCTGGTCTAAACTACCCTCCCTGATCTCCTTTGGTAAAGAGAAGTTGTCCTAATAAGAGCAAAGCATGTAAGAGCATATTTGCTCAGCAAGCATTTGTTTACTCAAGACACCATAAAAACTTTGTAACTGAACAATAATTTCTAGTAATTCCGTAAGGCAAATATTCTAAAGCCAATGGTATTTTGAACATCGACGTCAACTCCTGTTTTCCGACAGTGGCCAATGCCATGTGCCCCAGAGGGAATGAATAGAACAGGTAATCATCAAGTGATCCATCCCCTGTCGCCCATTCCCAGCTTCTGGCTTTCCTGCTTGAGCGAGTGGAATCTAGGTTCTGCTAGATGAGAGTGATGGGCAAAAGCTATGTGGAGTTCAGTTATTCCAGGAGTTGAAGCAGGAGGGTCACCTGTTATCCAGTACTCCTTTAGGAATGCCTCACTGTCTGTCAACCAACAAGAACTGTGGCTTTCCTGTAGCTGGGGGGGGGGGGGGGTGATATTCCATTTTGTGCCCTCTTTAAGAAGGCTGATGAACCTGATGTTTGCAGGTATCCTGTGAACCACTTTTCCTGTGGTTTCTGAGGAGCTGTTCCCATAGGCCTTCCTCAAGTTCCAACACAGCCTTGGTAGCAATGTGATTAGGGGGACTTGGACAGCAATGTCTATGACAACAGGAGGGTGCTCGCTATGCATAAAATTGTCAAGGACAGTTCATTCCACAACTAGAGGCCACGTGTTCTGGCCACAGAACACAAACCACATGTCCAGCAAGTAGACTTGCCTCCGTCCAGCAAAACAGAAGGTTTCTTGCTACTTGGAATTGAACAGTAGATGCCTGTCTTGATTCGAAGCCCATTCAAAAAGTTGTTCATCTTAAGTATCATTGTCTCGTAACCCCAGGATTTATGATGGCTCTTGAGGTCTCCAACCCATATTAAAGAGTGGTGGTGGTTCAGTAAAACCTGCGTGGTACAGGAGACATTTGGTGGCTTATAGATGTTGGGGATCGCAAACTCACCGACTCTCGTTGTGACGACATATGGTGAAGAGTTCAAGACCATGCAGCAAATTTTCCAGAGCCTGTCTCACAAATGTTGTTAGTTCGTGTTTTGTTTTGCTAGTTTGTGTGTTGGCTCTCCACTAAATGTTATTCTGTAATGTTACATATTTTGATGCTCTTTCATTATACAATAAGTCTCTCTCTTGTTAAGTGCTTTGGCATAACCAACACTATCAACATGGCAACCGAACAGCAGTCCATGGCCTCACAGTCTAAAAAGCAACTCAAGTGACAATCCAGTGAAATGGCCCTTCTTAGGACCATCACCGAAAGAGAAACATAGGATCATACCTAGATGTATGCCACCACAATGTAGAAGGCTGTCTCCTACAAAATGTGATTATTTGACCAAGCTATTATATCAACAGGATACCCTTGTGTTATTCTATTAAAACATACATATATGCATAATCTTTATAAATCCAGGATAAACCAATGGTGTATCACACAAAGTTGCTCGCAATAGGATTTTGCGATCCATACATGGCAGAAACAAAAAGCCTCAGGAATCTGCCTAAACATACTTTCATCCAGAATAGTTTAAATTAAAAATACATCTACTTCAAATTGAATTAGACGTACTCACATTTTCTGTAGTTCCAGTAATTACATGCAATCCATCATAAGTTGATTTGATATACATTCCCTAATGTGGGGGGAGGGAAGGGGAGAAGAAATTGAAAATAGTCAAATTTAAGAAAGGCAGTGCCAAGAATAAAAACTTGCATACTAATTATGTAACAGGTTAAGCAACATCTTACAACAAACTTAAAACTCATTCTGTGTAAAAAACATTAAATATATGAAAATTCATGGACTCACATTTGTAAGTAGTGTGATCTAGTATCAAAGTACTAAATGTTCCTCTTTTCCTGAATTCTTGGGCACTCAGTACATATAAATTAGAGATCGGAATTTTATACTTGACCCTTTGCAGATGATCCTTAAAATATTTATTTTTAAATCATGTAACTTAACTTCTTTATAGCCTTGACTATCCTGGAGAATTTTAGATAAGTCATTTAGAGTTCCTTGCATGCCAAGCACCTCCTCACAAGTTTGCTACAAATATTCTACAGACAAGCAAGTTCAAATAATCCCTATTCTTAATGCTCGCCATCTTGTAACATTACAGTGTTGGCGTAAACCAGGAGCACAGGCAAACCATACGCTAGCACCACTTTACTATACTACTGGGTGTGGCTGCAAGGATAAATGCTAATGAAATAGGTCTGAGCGTGTGGATTCTTAACATACCATCTACAAATGGGCTAACATTCACATTTTAATTACACATAGTAGACTTCTGTATCAATTTCCATATAGATAACATAGGTCGTTTTCCTTCCTGATAAGCTGTTTTGAAGATTACTTACCATGCTGTGCTTTTTAGCTATGCAGTGCCATTCAAGTGCTAAGTGCAATTTATGTGCCAGGAATTACTATCCACCACTTAGAAGCGTGAACACAAAACATTTTTCTTTCTTGATTTTCTTCTCCATTTGCAAAGATTTATGCTCCCTGCCCTCCTCCTCCTCCTTCGCTGTCCCCCCATTTCTTGCAGAGCACAAGCTATCATGCTGCTATTCAGCGAATACCCTTATTTGATACCCAAACCGCACTGAAGAAGTTGCCATAGTTCTGGAACATGGTTAGTTCATTTGTGTCCCTTCCGTTAGCCCTGCAATAATGTAGCTCAAAACACTGTAGGTTCTCCATAACAGCACCCATGTTTTTTAAAAACTGTTCAACAAAAGATATTTCTCACTTCTTCATAGTTTTAAGAGTAAGTTAAATAATTTCAGATAAATATTTCAGTTTCCTTTAAGGCATTTAAATGTGAACCACCTCCACTCCAGCCAGAAAGGTCCCATCTCCAATTTTTTGTAAACACCATTCAATGGAACATCCAACCCGACCAACCATATTCAGCACATGGTCAAAGGTTTACCACAGACCCCTGCTAAAAACAAACGCCAAATACGCTCCATATCCAACCAAAACTACAGATAAAAAAAAAAAAAAAATCTCACAAAACAGTATAGATAAAAAAAATCCTTCAGAAAGTCTCTATGTACAGTTGATTTAGGTGACCAGCGAAGGTAAGGGACCCCTTTGTTCACCTCCATCGATGAATCCCACCAATAGCCAGGTGTACTCAGCATACTACCACCTCAAAAATGCCTTAAACACAGGCAAGGGACTGATCCTGCAGACAGTTTTGCCCATGAGTCTAGTTAGTCCCACGCTGAATCCTTACCGATTTTAATGGGAGTAAACAATGCACACAGGCGTAACGGCTTGCAGGGCCAGGCACTAACAATGCAGACATAGTAACCACAGAAGCAGACACAGCTGAGTTCTTACCAGGCCTTCCCCAGGTTTAATGTTGGTTAAATGAACCTCCTCCAGACATGCACTTTGGCTCATCAACGGATCTGTAGTTGATCTGATCATCTTATCACAAATTCCATTTAAAATCTTGGACTGAAAATGAACAAAAATTCATTAGGAAAGCCACATTCTAGAATTCCTCCCCACACTAATTTCTCAATAAAGCAGAAGTTATTTAATTATAAAATCTGGCCCACTAAGAAAGCTTGATAGAACTGGTAGCAGAATACGAGACCATTCAGACAATTCTCCTTTATGGCCTTGTCTACCCTAGGCTTTTGGGGTAAAAATCTGCCACTTCTGCTACCACCAGTGACAAGGCATGTTGGGAAAAGGTGCCACTACAGTTGCCTGGAAAAAAAAGGCAAAAACGACACCACCACACTCTTGCAAAAATTTAGTCTATATTTTTTTGGAATTTTTATTTTTAAATCCCAAACATTTGACTACCTTTAGTGCCAAAAGCTGCCAACAGTTATTTAGATCTGCTTTAAGAAAGGTTAGGCAGGATGGTGCTAAAGAAGCCAATGGCAACTGGTGAGTACTCTACACCAAGCTTTTGAGTAGGTAGGCATTTAACAATTAAGTATTTTAGCAGTTATCTCCTTTGTGCCAGTTGCTGGAATCCTTACAAACTTATATTTCCTTGTTACCAAAATATATCCAATCCCAACCCAATACCATTTCTAAGGACACATTCTGACCTTAAACACATATAACTCGGACTAACGAAGCCAGTGAAAGTCAGGCTTATGTATCAGAAGGGAGTAATTTGTCTTTTACATTCTAAAAGTTTCAAACAGGCAAAATGACTGTTTAAAAAGAGAAAATATAATGGTCAAAACATTTATTTTCTTCCCACACACTCAAAATTTACATTATACACCTCAGAGTAACAGCCGTGTTAGTCTGTATTCGCAAAAAGAAAAGGAGTACTTGTGGCACCTTAGAGACTAACCAATTTATTTGAGCATAAGCTTTCGTGAGAGGAAGTGAGCTGTAGCTCACAAAAGCTTATACTCAAATAAATTGGTTAGTCTCTAAGGTGCCACAAGTACTCCTTTTCATTATACACCTCATTGTTTAAATACATATCAAGACACAAAATACAATGTATTTAACTTAAAGTTGTTTTCAACAGTTAAAAAAAAAAAAGGCCCTAAAATCTTCAGGATAGCATTTATTTGTAATTGGCTGTGAAACTGGAAGGTAGCTCACCTGAGAAAGTAAATATCTCCAAGTGCCCTTGGGACTTCTCACTCAGTGGAGACATATGTAATTAAGGGGCCGCACAAAATGAAGCCTTGTATAAAGATACCTCTATCTAATTTACCGTGGGCACACGGTAAATTATTCTCAAGGTTTTTTATTCTAAACCAGATTTATAGAACTGAAGTAATGTAATTTAAATAAATCGAAACAATGCCCAAGCATGAATACGAGGAACTGCTAAAACAAGGGAATTCCAAACAACAGTACATATATGGAATGGGGTGTGGAAAAATGAGAAACTGAAAACTCCTATTTGCTTGGTTTCCTTATTTATGGACACAATTATTTTTAGCTATTGTGCTACTGAATGCCTAAGCATCTATCAGCAAACGGAAGGCCTTATCAAAGAACACAGCCTGGCTCATGTCAAAAGCAGGAAGCGATGATTAACTGTTACAAAATATTAAAAGTATTTCATTACATCCCACTGTTGGTCACAAGGTTGCTTCAAAATGATTTTGAAAACTTAGAGCTTTCAGAATGAAGAATAATTAGACATAGATCTTTCTACTTCCATAGGCAGGACAGTGTCTTTACAGGGCCACAGCAAAGTACATTATCTATTAAATAAAGTGCTATATCCCACGCTGCGGATCATGGACATTTTGTTTTACTTGGTGGAACACCCTTTTACATTCCTTCCCCTCCCCTAAAAACTGAGCCAGACATTGGACTTGAAGAAATACCTATGGAATAAAACCTTAAGGATCATCTACTGTATATAGCAGTGCTGACTTATACATCATTAAAAATTCACCATTATCCCTTCTGAAAGAATAATGAATGATAAAAACAGCCTGCAATGGAGTTGTGCTTACATGGTATATTTCAACTTTGTCAGTCTGAGTAATCAAGAAGTCATTGAAATAAATGGGAATACAAATAACTAGGTCGTAACTGAAATGCATACTTACTACATGTAGAACTTTGTCTTCCATTTCAGCCACAGTGCAATCCTAAAAAGAGAAAACAAGCACTAAATTAACAGAACTGCGTAAACAGACTAGGTTGCAAAATACTGAAATATAGCTACCCCTGACCTCAGGCAAAAAGGGTAGTATCTTTGGAGCAGGGATTAATCAGACATCTGCTTCGCCTTCTAGGCATGAAATGTACCATTGAACAACAATTTTCTGACACCTGATCTAAGAGGCAATACAGACCTTCAAAATGTTAAAAGAATACAAGCCTTCAGTCACTGCAGAAGAATTTTCCGGGAAAAATGAGTTATGCACAAATAAAGATGGACTTTGTTAAGGTAAACCATATAAGCTTGTTTTAGATACTACAAATTCTGAGCCAGCTATTACTGTATTCATCATTTCAAAATGGATAAAAAAACCACGGGTTAAAAATAGCTTCAGAAGTGCTTTTAAAATATGCTATTGATGGCATTCACAAAGGCAAGGGAATGGCACACAAAGCATTATTTACACAGCTCAGGTACAAAAGACTTTGAACTGAAAAGAGTTCATTTAGTAGATTACAGAAGAGACCATTGTTCTCTGAAAAAAAACAGCAAAACTGGAACACACCAATACATTCCCAGGTAAAAAGAAGAAGGAGGTGGGGAAGGGAGGGTAAACCACAGGTACGGTTGTAAATAATTTATTAATTACTTAAGAAACCCCCACTAACACTTTTCTCAAAAATAACAAAACGTTAGAAAATACAAAGTTAAGGTTATATTTGGGGGAAAAAACCCAAACATCACAAAGATCACTTTAACAATCTTAACTCTGACCCATATCGCACCAGAGTTCCAAGCTGCACAACTGTCACACCTCATCGTAAAAGATTGAGACATTTTAACGAAGAGATTTCATGAAGAAGGATTTGCTGAAGACTAAGTATTCACAGTCTGCATAAATCTTTAAGTCTACTTACTTTATATAGTTTGCCAAAGAACTTAGCACACAACTTGGGTTTTTACATAAACGTACATGTTATGGAAGCGTGAGCTCAATATCCTGAGTCCTTAGCATTAAGTTTATTTTTGGCCTGGTTCTTAAGGGGGTTAGAGCCACTGCATATGTATCTATACCAAGTCTGACCACACTTTCACATTTGATGCTCCATATGCTTTTGAGACTTGTCCTGAAAATTGCTCCAAAGGCAGTCACTTTTAGCGAACAGACAGTAACCTCACTTTCTGGTGACAGTGTAGTCGTATGAGGAAAAAAAGAAGAGTAGCTTGCTATACTAATGTAAAGAGAGATGTACTTTGCTTTAAGTGCTCCAATAGAAAATAATATATCAACAAGAGTAAGGTACTAGAAGACCTTTTAGATCACTTCTCAATTTTCAGTCACTGAAGTAATGACAACGTTTCCACGTAGGATTGTCTTTTTGTTGTTCTCTGGACAGCCATACAAGGACAGAATAGTGTGGTGACTAAAGCCATGTCTACACTACAAAACTTATGTTGACTCAAGTTATGTTAGCATACAGATGGCACGGTTGGTACATCATTTGTGCCCATGCATACTTGGCTCCTTGTGTCAGCAGTTTACGTGCTCACCAGGAGCGCTTGTATTGATGCAGAATGCGGTGCACCACGGGTAGGTATCTCACTGCGCAACTCGCCACCATCCAGCACACTATCTTTTGGGAAGTTTTGGCAATGCATGATGGGGCTGAAATGAGTCACGCAGGGGTGACTGGAAGCATGGGGTGAATGTCCCATTTTGCAACTGTCTCCATCCCATGATGTTATCTGTATCCCATAATGTTCATGCTTTTTTAAAAAAAAAAAAAATCCCACGAACACACACGGCCTCCTCTGTCCACCATTCCTGAAAGAAGCATAAAGCCTGCACTATTATCACAAGCATTGCAAGTACAGCTTGCACGATCCTGAAACATTTCCAGAGCTAAAAGAACCACCAAAGAAAGTGGGGAAACACGACAATTCCTTACAGGACAGACTGCTGTGGGACATAGTAAGAATCAATTCAAGGTTGTTAGTAGCATTCAGGGACCACCTGCAGATGGTGGAGTGTTGCTTCTGGGCCCGAGAAACAAACACTGACTTTTGGAATGGCATCATAATGCGGAACTTTCAGATGAGCAAGGCCACCTTCCTGGATCTGTGCAGTGATCTTTATCCAGCCCTCCTGCACAGGGATACCAAAATGAGAGCTGCACAGACAGTGCAGAAGTGAGTGGCAATTGCACTGTGGAAACTTGCAATGCCAGATTGCTACCGGTCAGTCAGCAATCAATTTGGAGTAAGGAAATTCACCATGAGGGCTGTTGTGAGGCAAGTATGCAGGGCCAGTACGCAGGACTGTGACGACTCTCAGCAACGTGCAGGACATAGCAGATAGATTTGCAGCAGTGCTGCTCCTGAATTGCAGTGCGATAGATGGCTTGCATCTCTCTGTTTTGGCATCAGACCACCTTGCCATTCAGTACACCAAACAGGAAGGGCTACTTTTCTGTGGTTATGCAAGCACAGGTGAATCACCGGGGACGCTTCACTGACATCAGTGTGAGCTCGTCAGGGAAGATGCATGACACTCACATCTTTAAGAACACAGGACTGTTGTGAAAGCTACAAGACTTTCTTTCCTGATCAGCAGTTTACCATTGGAAATGTTGAAATGCCAAAAAATGATCCTGGGGGACCCAGCCTACCCTTTGCTCCCCTGGCTCATGAAGGCATATACGTCCACCTTGACAGCACCAAGGAACAATTCAACTACTGGCTCAGCAGATGCAGAATGACAGTTGAATTAACTTTTGGTGGTTTTAAGGGTAGCTGGCATTATTTACTTACAAGATTAGACCTCAGTGAGAAAAACATCTCAATGATTATAGCTGCCTGCTGTGTGCTGCATAATATACGTGAAGCAAAGGGGGGAAGTTTCCATCAGGCTGCAGGGCAGAGGTGGAGGAGCTGTCATCTGAATTTGAACAGTCAGACACAAGGGCTATTAGAAGAGCTCAGTGCAGAGCTATATTGCTCTGGGAGGCTTTGAAAGACCATTTTAACACTGAGCAAGAACAGGGTGTGTTGTTATAGTGTGTTCTACCTGGCTCTGCAGGAGTCGTGTGGTGATCACTGTACATGTAGGAATACAACATTGTCAATGCACCTATTAATTTTGTTTTTGAATCATCTCATGAGTTATGTGGCACTTAGCAATAATAGGTAACTGGTTGCTTTCAGAACTGCTGATCACTTGGCAGCATATGTTGTGAACTAATAAAGATGAATTGTGTTAAAAAAAATCACAATCAGTGCAAAAAAAACCCCCACAATTTTAAAACAATACATTAAAAAACTTAAAATTTAATAAACAGAATGTATGAAGGGGAAAGAACACTGATGCCCATTTCAGCTACACATACACCAACCGTGGCTGTCACAGGAATGTTTAGCTATGATTGTCTTTAATGTCCCTTGGGTGGCATGGCAGGGGTAGTGCAGTGGCCCCTGATGCCACACAGAATGTTGGGGGAATGGGAAGGATATAGGGAGGTCCGGATATTGCGTTCTCAGTGGTCTGCAGAGGGAGGTGAGCCCAGGACTGTTGAACCTGCAGGTCCACCACAGTCTGCAGCCTCTGTGTTTGCTGCCTGAGAAGCCTCATTATGTCTTTGTGCATCTCCCTCTCCTTTTCCCGCTGGAGCTCTCTTCTCCACTCTTTCCTTCTCCAGGCTGGCCACAATATTCATCCTCCAGGCCTTGTGCTCGCAGTCTGATGTGGCAGTGGCTTGCAGGATCTCACTGAACATGTCATCCTGAGTCCTCTTCTTTCTCCGCTTTATCTGGCTCAGGCATTCTGCACGTGTGGAAGGCGGTGTGAAGGCCAGAATGGCAACAGCTGAAGATAAAAACACTGAGGTACCTTTATCAGCATATTCACAACAGAAAGGGAAACTTGCTCCCTTGCAGTTGTAAACACAACATTCTCACTTCTGCTTGGGATAGTTTGTGCACGGCGCTAGTCACAGCACTAGCCATGGTGAATATGGCCCGCCGGGGGTTGCGGGAAATGGAGCAAATTGCTTGGTTGCATGATTCCAGTCATGTAGAGCAATGGCACTGAATATTCGCACCATTTTCCATAGGCAGTGGTGATTTTAGCTGACATCTCACTTCTGAGGGTTACAAAAGGCAGAGACCCCACAGTTGCTGCGGTGTCCTAAAGCTGCCCGAGCCCATAAGCTGCTAGCCTGTGCTGCTATTGCAATGGTGCCTACTGAAATTATCGCTCAGCATCATAGAAAAGTGCCCTACCACAGAGGACGAAATAAGGCTGCCAACCCTAAAAACCTTCAGGAGGGGATTGCCGAGTACCTCAATGAAAGTTTCATGGAGATCTCTCAGGAGGATTCAAGGGACACCCCTGTATACATAAACAAACTACTCTGTGTGGCCCCTGCCTAACTCCAGAGAGGAATGAAAAGCAAATAGCAACTCTACGTCTCATGGTTGTACCACTACCTCTTCTAGCATGAGTAAATTAATGAAAAAAGTCAAAAGATGTGTCCTGCCATCCCTGTAATTGAAAATTTATCTAAACACTTATCTGAGGTTCCTTTCCCTGCACTGCGCTCGCCGGTGATCCACTGGTGAGACTGTGGCATCACCAAAAAGAGGTCTGACTTGCTGCGCAGCTGGATCCCAGGTTGTCTGACCCCATACTCCTCCCCCTCATCCACCTCCTTGCTGTTCACAGCAGGGGCCTATGACTTGGTGGGCTCCTCAGAGGTATCCACAGTGCTGTGGGGAGCTGGGGGTCCTCCACCGAGTATGGCTTGCAGCTCTTTGTAAAAGTGGCACATCTGCAGATCAGCACCAGATCGATTGTTGGCCTCCCTGGTCTTCTGGTACACCTGCTGCAGTTCCTGGACTTTCACACTGCATGGCTGCTGGTCCCCATCGTACCGGTTCTTCTGCATCCCCTGAGCCATCTGCTCATAGACGTCAACATTTCTAGGCTGGTTCAGAGCTGTGCCTGCACAGCCTCTTCTTCCCATGGGCCCAAGATATCCGGTATCTCCTGTCTACTCCAAGCCAGAGTGCTTCTGGAGCACGTAGCCAGCACGGGCAGCTGCACTCAACAGTGGAGAGCTGCTAGGTGTGCTCATCAAGCTGGACAATCGAGAAAAGGAATTTCAAAAATGCACTGGGCTTTAAAGGGAAGGGGGCTTCCAGTCTCGGTCTCTGTGATGCCTGCAAAGTAGAGTTCATAATGGTGACCCGAGAGGCCAGCGTGGGGCATTGTAGGACAGCTGCTGGAGGACACTTAGGCTCAACGTAATTCAGTGTCTACACTTGCTCTGTGTCACCCAGGGAGGTGGTGTTACTACGTTGGCATAACAGGGTGCTTATGTAAGTGGGAAACCAATTTAAAGTGAAGACACATGCACAACTAGGTTGATGTAAACTGTCTTGTGTCAACCTAACTTTCTAATGTAGACCAGGCCTAACTAAGCCCTTCCTTATTTGGTTTTGTTTTAAGTGCAACTTAAGTAGAAAGTTTGGAAAAACTTAGTTGTGACAGGTTTTTCGAGAAAACTACCAGGTGCTCCGAAGGGCTGTCTCTTAAGTAATTGATAGAAATATACAACTTTGACTCCAGTATAAAGTTGCTTGTTTTTTTAATAAGAATTTCCTTTGGGTATTTGAAAAACATAATAACTAATTAGTGAGTCCCTGTGAACCATGCAAGCTGTGTAGGAATTAAGTCTTGTCAGTGACTAATCTTGCTTTAACCATGTTACTAAAATTCATGTTCTAAACATGACCCTCAAACTGCAGATTTGATAGGGCAGATGGACCCATGTCTCCATCCCTTCCTCCCCCACCAAACACAACCACAATTCCAATTCCCAATTATTTCAAGTTGAGTTGGCCTGCTTAGTACACATGATCCAACACTGATTGCTCCCATGGTTAGAAACAATTCTAAAAGTAGCAGCAACGCATTCATTTCCATACACTGGTTAAAAAGGGAGGCTTGTGAACATGTCGGGGAGCAGATTGCAGGGGGGAGGGGAGGGAAGGAAGCAGAGGTAGATTGAGAAGCCTTGAATGGTCATCTGCAAATGCACTATTAAAAGTTAGCTAGCTACAGGGTTATGTGCAGAATGCCCCACAGCAAGGGTAAGAAGGGCGTGGAGCAATTAAGCAATAAACCCTGTTTGGGTCCCTGTTTCCTGCTTTTAATAGGACACTCCAGCACGAATTATTTGAGGTCACCTGCAAGAGCATGGAGTTACCCCAAAAGGGGAGAAGCAATTAACTCATTTTCTTTCAATATACTGTATGTATGGTTTTGAGAAGTTTTTGAAAATGACATAGCTTTTTCCTCACACACTAAGTGCACAAGTCCATGCCACAGATTTCATCCCACCTACAAAAAAACCCCCACAATAAAATCCCCAACACACACCACTTACCTGACCATCTTCTACAAGGGAGTTCCATTCTCCAGCAGGCATCAGTGGGAGCTGCATATCACAGTATGGTACGTACTGAGGCATCGAAGGAGAGTGGGAGCCAGCCACTCTGACCCCAGCTATACCCAAAGCATGAAATGAGTTGGTCTGCTGAAAGTCACTTACATGCCAAATGACCCTCTAGCCATTACGATTTTGGCCAATCACAGCTAATAGTTAATTTTTAATAAAACATTGTGGAAGTCAGCCTGGTGGAAACAGAAACGTGAGGAAAAGGCAGCTCTTCCAGTCACCTGTTGCAGTCCACACCCAGCGGCTACTGCTCTCTTCCAGGGTATAATTTGAATTGCTATTGTATTTATTAAAACAAGTTACTAACGTTGATTCTAACTGGAGTTAAAAAAACAGCTTTCAGGTTTTCAAATTCAAAGCAGCTATTCCAGGGCCAAACCCAACTCTTAAAGTTAATGAAAACACTAATGGACTTTAAAATGGGAGACACCTAGCTCAACATTGCTGAGAAGTTTTGAAATTAACTAAACAAAAATCTCAACTGCAGGAGAACAGAGTGACCAAAGTTGGTAGCAGCCAGCATGCACTTGCTCATTATCACGTGTATGGTACTCCAGCATATGTTTTCCTCATTAACAAGTTGCACATAACTAGCACACAGTTATTTCCCCAGCCACCCACCTTCCTTCCTTTTTTTGGAGAGGTGAGAAGAAAAGCGGGGAGGAGGGAAAAAGTCAACTGACCTTCTGAACTGTGGTAGTGAGATCCAAGCAGAGCTGAATGATTCTGTTCTTTGTCGCTGAGAAGTCAGCAATCCCTGTAAATGGGGCCCTGTAACAAGACAAAATCCCCTTAGAATGAAAAGCCCTCTCGGCTTCCAACTCTGGCTGTTAATGGGCACAGCACATAGATTTACACAGTTGCAGGTCAGATAGCAAACCTGAGACATGCTGGAACTATCCCGTTAACACAGTAAAAATGTAATCGGAATAACCGTAGCTGCAGTAAATAGACTAAAGTGCCTTTTAACACAAGTGCACCAATATGGTGAGCAACAAACTACCCTTATAACAAGTGTATTCTTTATCATGAAAAATATCTCAGCCAAGATCAGCCTCTGTAATGGCTTGCTTTCCTCTAAGAGGTAAATCTGAACAGCTGCTAACCTTTCAGCACTGTTTACAAAGGACTCAATTCTAGCTCAGTGATTATACCCTCCCTTAAAGGAGACCGCTTTAGAGAGCTGTTGAGGGGGCACCTCAGCCCCACCTGCTACTTTATGAGGGGCAGGGAGAGAAGGGAAAGAGTTCCAAAACACTGACTGGGCTCAAAGTTGGATAAGTCAGCCATCTTGCTGCTGGGGCTAGCAGACAGGAAAGTTGGTGGGGGCTGGCAGTGACCGCAGGAAAGGACCAAGTGAGAAGAGCAAGCTACTGCCAGGGAACACCACCTGACAGTGACAGGAGGGCCATTCATGGGATAACAGCTCTTCCTCCCCATGATCTCCTTCTGACTTCCCTCCCCACAAGCTGGGTCCCTAGGAAAGCTGGCAACATGCGAGAGAATTTACAATCCTCTCTTATCCTGTCCCAGCATCACTGCTTGGACACTATCTGCTCAGCTGCCTGTCTGTTTCCGCAGCAGCTGTCACAGAGCAACCCTAGCCCGTGTAAGGAAAAGCAAAGGAGTCTTTCTTGCTGCCTGTCTTTTTCCAGGCCACTGAAGCACACATTTGGGAAAGGAGCAAATTCAGTCAAAAATTAAAGCCACGTTAACAAATGACTGTTTTTTAGACAATCATTTTGTGTGAGGGGGTGGAGCAGAAAGTTGCATCTGTATAAGGGGGCGGGGAGAATGGGGAATTTTCTTTAAAGCCCTGTCTGAACTAGGGAAATTTTGGGGTGGGGGGTGTGGAGGAGGAGAGAGAGTTTCCAATCACTGTAAACACTGGTCAAAATCCATTGATTTTAGAAGTATCATCACCCTATGCCCTGCAGCCACCAACGGCCTGGCAATTCAACTTGCTAATTACCGACATCCTAAGATTTAAATAAAGTGGTGGTCTGGGTGGGAACAGAGACATTTACATCCAGACATCACTCTAGAAGCTGCCTTTGGAAGCCGAAAACATTCATTTCACTAACACAAGTGACCATATGGATTTTTTTTTTTTTTTAAATGAGAGTACCAATCTCATACCTGTCCAACCATGCTAGCAAGGCCTTAGCAGCACCAATGAGCTCCACCACTGAGGTGAGGAATTCATTGGGGGGTTTGTGTGAGGTTTTTCCATCATAATTCGAATTTTTCCTCCGGCTGCTGATGCAATTCTGCAGGTTGTTGGAAGAAGCTCGCAATTTGAGAACCAAGTTCTTCATATTGTCTGTTTCAAGGCCATAATTCTGCAAAAAAAAAAAAAAGATTTTTTTTAAATAGTTTTGTAAGTCAATATAGAGATCCCATCTAAGTCTGTTTTGTGGTGCAATTAGCTATTTGGGATGGAAGATCCAGAGTACTGCTTATAATTACTCTCTTGACAAAAGAAAAATTGTTTGGGAAAAAAGCAACTTGATTGAACCAGACACCATTGGACAACCTGCTCTGTGAAATGCAGTCTCTAATCTATATTAGGCATTTGAAAGTATGCTATTAATCCCAGTTATCCTCAGTGCTCTTAACTCCTAGACAATGCAGGAAGTCCCCAAATCCTGTTGTGGGTGTGTAGGTAACTGGTTTGGAAAGCAGGTGTAGGTGCTGTCCCAGATGCAAAGATTTGAAAAGCAGTCCATAGATTTCTGAACGTTCAGATGCAGCAGGGTTCCATTTCCAGCTGCAGAATGCCACGGAGACAAAAGCTACCTGACTGAAGGCCTGACTTTACTATGCGACAAACCTCATCAATTTCCACTGAAGTCACTGGGAGTTGAGGGAACTCAATCTCAGAATATTAGGGCCCAAAATCCCATCACATCACTTGATTCTTAATGGAACACAGCAGCGTTGATTTCACTTTTCTCCCTTTAAAGGTAATGGAAGTCTGGCTGCTCCCAGTACTATGGTGGAAAACCAGAAGCAGCATAGCTATGTTCCACTCACAACAAAAAAGAGGGGGAAGTTTAAACCTGCTGAGGGACAAAAGCTGAACTACCAGGCAACAGATAGGATTAAATATTTACACTAGGGTTTTGACTGTGAAATTATAACACTTCTGAGGTAAGTGTTCCCCTACTAGGAAAGGGCATTTATTTGCAAGTGTATGGACAGCATCAACACTATGCATGAAAGAGTGAAAATTGCCTTTCAAGTCCCTTCCCCCCATCCCAAAAGGTAAAACCTATGGAATACTAGATCACTCAGGAGAGTGATAATACAGAGAGAACCTGTAACATCTAGGTCGCGAGTTCAAATGCACCCAAGTCACTAGTAACAAAAATTAGAATCCAGTTGGCTTACGCAAAATCAGTTTGTCTCAGTCCAAATGTCAGTTACAAAACCCATGCTGTATCTGTTCTGTAGACAGAGGTTAAGGCCAACATTTTCAAATGTGATTAATAATTTGGGATGCCTCACTGGAGACATCTTAAAGAAGCTTGATTTTCAGAGGGCAAATAGGTCCCTCAGCACTTTCTGAAAAATAAAGTCCCTTTTTCAGGTTGAGCACCGAAAAACAGGGGTACCCAAAATCACTAGTCATGTTTGAAAAAGCTTGACCCTAGTCTTTAGGGTCTTATCTGTACTTGAGATCTTTGTGAAATTCTCCCATCACTGCTATTGCCCAGATGAATTTCCACCATCCCTAGCAATGGCAGAAGCCCTAGCACAGACTAGCTATGCTCGGAGTTGGAGCTACACTAATGCCAGGGCAACACTGGAATTTACAAAAACCTCTGTTTAGACACAGCTCAAGGGCACCACTCTAGCACAAAGATTATTTAGAAAGAAAAACAAAACAAAAAAAAAAACCTACACTGCAACTCAAGAAGTTATTACAGAGACATGATGGGCTAGAACACGTGCTAGGAATGGGGAAAGCCTTCTGATGATTTTCAACTGCACTTTGTATCTATACTGATTTGTAAGAGATGAGAGACAACAAACCACTTGTCCCCGTACAAATCTCATGCCGCCACCACTTCCTCCCCTCCCCTCAATCACAGCATTTCTCCCAGAAGCCCCCTTATGGCCTTCAAAAACACCTCTTCCCACTCCATTAAGCTTACATGATCCGTGATCCAGCTTTACTGGCAATATTCCTGATCTAGGATCTCTTATGCAGATTGTTGTGCTCCACTCTACTCAAGTTTCATGTACTCCCTGGCTTTCCTGGTCAAATGTGCATAATGAAGTCTGGGATACCATGGACTGAAAAAGCTGTAGCACAAGTGACAGGGAACTTTTTATTTATTTATTTTATTTTAAAAGAAAACACCCCACCCACAAAAAAAGCCTATAGAACTCCCCTCAGGAATCCACAAAGCTAAAACATACTGGCATTTTTCAGCCACCAAATTGCCTTTAAAACTACCTCCCAGTTCTGGCCACAGTCCAGCGGGTATACACTGCAAAAGTCTACTAGAGCACTTGACAAGGGAGCACATGGTATCTAGAGTACAGCTAGAGAGGTGTTGCTGAGATGAGAGAGGATGTGGTCTAAGAAACAACACCCTTCCAACAGCAGAGGATATCCTTAAGTTTTCCGTCATCCCAGAGCAGGAAAATTTCTGGCTTTAATAATAAAAGTCTGAGCATTACATTCTGTAACATGTACATTCATGTTAAAGTAAAACAAAAACAAGAGACGATCATTTTGATGAGTTTCTTGCAGCCAAGTTTTTTCATCCTCTTACACGATGCTGCAATATTGTTTGTTTTTGGTGTGCTGCTTCCTCACCACCAGCTCTGAGTGCCAAGCCAGTTCCTGCAGCCACAAGAACGTGAAAATAGCAGCGTCCTAGAAGAGTATAAAAGCCTAATTACTCTGGCAAGGGAAGAGGGCAAACAGAATATCCCTTCACTCGGGACTGAAAACATTATAGGCCCTTTTAACCCATAAGGAGAGCAACTTACTCAAACAAGTTATTAGATGGTTAGAACCACTCGATAAAGAGCTGTGATCCTTTCAGATGAGGCAGGGTGAGGGACAACTGCAGAATTCCCAAGGCCTGAGTTTCAAGCACTCAGGCATGCACTCAGATGCATAAAAACGAGAATGCAACTGCATGCCTAATTAGTGCAAGCAATTATCACCATTGCACGCGAAGAAGTCACTCACTTTGTGCAGCAACAATGGTTCTTCGAGATGTGCAACCCTACGAGTGCCCCATTGTAGGTGTGTCTGCTTCCCTGCGCTGCTTATCGGAGAACTTTGGTATCAGTGTCTGTTGGGCCTATGCTGCGCCATGAGACTAGTCAGTGCGTGTGGGCTAACTGTCCTCACTTCCTTCTCTACCACAGTCAAAGAAGTACTCCAAAGTAGAGGGGAGGAGGGCGGGTTGTGGAACACTCACAGGGACACACATCTCGAACCACCATCATTACTGAACAAGGTGAGTAATGACAGGTTTCAGAGTAACAGCCGTGTTAGTCTGTATTCGCAAAAAGAAAAGGAGTACTTGTGGCACCTTAGAGACTAACCAATTTATTTGAGCATGAGCTTTCGTGAGCTACAGCTCACTTCATCGGATGATGATGAGTAATAACTTCTTAGGGACACTCCTCGATGGATGCACCATTGTAGGTGACTACCAAGCTGCAACCTTTTTGGAGGGTTGGGACTTCGGAGTTGAGTCAGTCACAGACGACAGTACTGTGAAGCCAAAGATGGCATTAGAGGTGGAGTCCCCAGTGACCTGTGAAGGTGTGAGCAGACACCCACATCACCACTCTGCAGATATCTGCAATAGGGACATCCTTAAAGAAGGTGACAGATGAGGAGATCAATCTTGTGGAATGTGTATGGATAAAGTCTGGAGGGGGTCATGTTACAAATTTGGTAGCACTGTCTGATGCAATTCGAGACCCACTTAGAGTGTCTTTGGGCTGATATTGCTGAACCCTTTGATCTTTCCACCATGGAGAGGAATAGTTTAGGGGACTTCCTGAAGCTTTGTGTCCTATTGAGGTAGGATGCAAGGGCTCTCCTAACATCTAAGGTATGCAGTATGGCTTCCCTGTTGTCTCGGTGAGGCTTGGAGTAGAAGATGGAAAGGTGGATAGACTGATTCATATGAAATGACGATGTTATCTTAGGAATGAACTTTGGATGCGACCTGAGTGTAACCTTGCCTGGGAAGAATACTGTGTAAGGGCGATGCACCATCAAAGCTGCTATCTCCCCTATTCTTCTAGCCGAGGTGATTGCTATCAGAAAGGCCGTTTTCACCGATAGGTATGTCAGTGAACAGGTAGCCATAGGCTCAAAGGGGGGTCTGGTCAGCCTTTTCAGTACCAGGTCTAGGTTCCATGAGGGGTAGAAAATCAAAGTTGAGGGAAGAGGTTAGTTATACCCTTAAGGAACCTTTTGGTCATTGGATGCGATAGTACTGAGTATCCCTCTATGGGTCGGAGAAACATTGTGATGGCTGCTAAGTGGACCCTGAGAGAGCTCAGGGAAAACCCCAATTTTTAAGGGTCAGAGCATATTCCAGAATATGTGGAAGAGTTGCTGACACTGGAAAGATTTGTTAAGACATGCACCAAATCTGAAACCACCTCTGCAGGTAACTGCTTAGCCTGAAGGACTTTCTACTGTGTTACAGAACTTCTTGCACTTCCCTTCAGCATGACCTTTCTAGGTGCTGGAACCATGTAGGAGCCATGCTTTGAGGCAGAGTATCCCCAAGTTGGGATGTATGCTTTGTCCTGTGAGAGGAGGTGCAGAGAGTTCAGAAGGGAGATCAGCAAGCACATCACGAGCTGCATCAGGTAAGGGTACCGGGTCTGTCTTGGCCAAGTAGGAGCAAATCAGGATTATGTGAGCTCCATCCCTCTACCTTTAGCAGGATCTTCAGCAGAAGGGGAAATGGAAGGAAAGTGTAAAGAAGGTCCTTGTCCCAGGGGAGAAGGAGAGGATCTCACAGAGAGTGCTGTCCAATCTCCACCCTGGGGTAGTATCTTGGATACTTCTTGTTCTGGTAAGTGGCAAACAGGTCTGAACTGTGTTCCCCACTGTGAGAACAAGTCGCGAAGAACTGACAAATGCATCTCTAATTTGTGATCATGCAGAAATTTGCCAGTGAGCTTGTCCACTATCGAGTTCTGCGAGCCCGGGAGGTAAGCTGCGGACAAGGTGACGTGAGAGCTATACCAGGTCCATAGCCTAATCGCGTCCGTGCATAGAGCGGGTGACCTTGCCCCTTCCTGGCGGTTCACGTAGTACATGCAGGCTATGTTGTCCATTAGG